AAAAAAAAAAAAAAAAAAAAAAAAAAAAAAAAAAAAAAAAAAAAAAAAAAAAAAAAAAAAAAAAAAAAAAAAAAAAAAAAAAAAAAAAAAAAAGTCCAGAACCACTCGATCGAAGAAAACGTGGATAGCAAGACTCGTTCATTCTAGAGAATCGGTTTGAATCGCAAATCCCTTGCATACCCTACTGATACCTCTAATGAGAACCTCGGTTGCATCTGTAGATCTATTCCCAACGTTTTTCTGCATACAATAAACATCCCCCACATGGTCTTGGTAGAGGGGGTAGCTCAGATCTTGCGTAAAACCCCAAATCCAGCAAGCATAATAGTACAAACAATGAACTAGAAAGGACAAAGACAGATCAAAAGGCTATTGAGCGTGCAAACTCAGGTAAACACAGGTAGGAACAGGTAAAACTTCTGTCAGTGGTCAGAAATGACAGAAAACACATGAGGTAGCCCATTATGGGAGTGAAAGATAGAACTTCCCAAACGCCAATCCAACCCATACAAAGGTTAAACATTAAAACAACGCTCCAGGAACCATGGAAAAATAAAAAGGTAGACTGAAATTAATGTACACGAAGGGTGATAGCCGAGTCAAATTATGGGGGTTGCGCCTATGCGGCCATGGCAATGGCAGGTGAAGAGGCCTCTGCGATATTCGGAGGGACCGGAGTTAGGTCTCCGTCGCCAGAGTTGCTCTTCTCGCTAGGAACCCCGCTGGCGCTTTGATTCGCCTTGCTATCGCTATCACCGGTCTCTAGGACAGACACCTTGATTTCGCCATTGTCGTCTGTTTTCTGAGGTCGAGGAGTTCGCCAGGTCGGTAGCTGCCACTGGATGCCAGTGAAGCTCTTCAGTTGCAAGGACTTGCGTTCCCATTTACGGCATGGAGCACCCGAACGATCAAGGGCGCGAAGGCCAGCATTAATGGCGCCGGTGTTGGCTTTGGGCCCTAGCCTATGGGATGATGCGATTTTGACGGGTTCGGAGGTACCGTCGTCACTATTACTCCTTAAGTTAGCATGTGTTTGCAGTATCAGCTAGGGAGACAACAAAGACCTACAGTCTAGGCTTCTTCTTCGGACCAGGCTTCCCTCTCGGCTTAGGCGTTGTCTCGCTCGTCTGATTCAGACTTCGTTTGACTCCAGGCTTGGGACCAGGTACACCTTTGCGACGGGGGGTGTCAGCAGCTGAGGTGCCCGCAGCCGGTGTAGATGCAGCATCCGATGCATTGTCGGACGGATGGATAGGCGCTTCCACGAAAGATGACGCCGGGGAGGAGGGTTCCTTCTCCTTGACGGGGGAGGAGGCTCTGGACTCCTCGTCCTTAATGTTGCTCTTCTTCCTGTCTTTGACCTCTGGGGGCGGAGGACTGGCAAAGCGACTTAACAAGTCTGGCGAGAGCTTGAGGACGACGACCCCTTTCGAAGAGGGCCCAGACCTACTGGAGCGACCGTTGGTGGCAGTGGCAGCGGGCATTTCAGCTCAATGGGTATTCTGCCGATGTCGATTTTAAGAGGGTATGATAGAAGAAATGACAATTAGCCCCGATGGGTGTGAAGGGAAGGTAAAAGCCGTTGAGACGCGGAGTGGCAGTGTTGGTGGAAGGCAGAAAGTTGGATATTTTTTAAATGGCGATTGTGACGTGGGTGACGGACAAGTTGGTTGGCTGGAGAAGTGGTTCCAGACGTCAAACGCGGCGGCGCGACTTGGTCAGGGTGAGGCAAAAGTTTGACAGGGCTGATGGAGACAAGAGGAGCGAAGCACGAGTGACATAGTCCGGTTGGATAGTGACGATGATGAAGTTGGATGGTTGAGGATAGGAGAAGATGAAGAGAGGGAGAGGGGCGGAGGGAAAGAAAAAGGACGGGGGATGGAAGAAAGGGATGGGGATGCGCCGTGTGGTGGTTTCATTGTTGGTGTGTGTTCATCTCGTCTACTAAGTAGGGAACAGCCAGACTTTCACACGCTCTCTCTGTTCTGTGCGGTCAGTCCAGTGACTGTCCAGGAGACGAGAAGCTGAACCTTCTGCGGACCGAATCACCCTAAGGAAATTTACCGCGCTCGCGTCTCGTACCGTTTCTTACGCGTGGCTTCCGTGGCTCGGGGTTGAGGAAACGTCATCGGCCGGGGGTTTCTGACTGTATGGGACGTTCAATTTAATTCATTCTATACTACCTCACCTACTAACTATACCTACACAGTACATATTCTTAGTATACGTACCTATTAATATTTCATTTTTTTTAATCCTTACCCTTGCTGACTGATTTCTAATTTTGCTAACTGACTTGATTTAATAAGCGCTCTTCCTTTCTCTTACTATCCATGAACAATAGTCTCATTCCCTAGACACAGGAAGTGGGCTCCTCCTGCCCATGCTCCATGCCCAGCCGAGTTAAATTAGGTCGTTCCATTCATCCTAAAATCTGAGAAAGAAGTGGGAAAGTATTGGAAAACCTATCCTTCTCAGAGGATAAGAGATTTCACGGAATACCGAGGCAGGAAATGGAAACCTCGTATCTATCTTACAAGTTAAAAACTTTTTCTTTTTTTCTTTCTTTTTTTCTCACCTTCCCATCGATCGAGCTATGGATCGCCAGTCCCGCTTATTAGTGAGGTAGACTTTTTGGCACGACTTCCACCGCTTCCGTCCGGGTTTGTTTCGTAGGTACGGGATACGGGTATTCACTTCTAACAGGTAATTACAGATCCAAAGGATAAGGAAGAAGGAGAAAGAAGAATTTGAAGCGCGTTTGCGGTATGAACCTAGACGGCCTTCCATTATTGATGAATCAGTCATACCCTACAACTAGCATACTGCAGACCTTCACTCGACACAGGTATCTAGACTACTAGACCATATAACATCTATTCACTGATGATACATCTACACTACCAAGTGGACCGGAACAGAAAGATCCATTGTGTTGTGTTGTCAGATGATAGACCAAAATGACTGGGGGTACATATGCTGATGCCCATTCAGGAAACTAAAACGACTACTACACAGTAACCTACGTGACTAGTACCGAGTAAAAAGGCAGTAAGACTTGAACCAAGAAATCCCTCCCGACCGGTTCGCCACAAACGGAATCACAATCACACAAGGCCTCGAATTACTAAATCAGAAAACCGCGCAATGGCCGGGAAACGGGCTTTATGTCCGGGTTATCCGTTCCCATTGATAATCCCCAACCGCCGAGAGTTATTCACTCAAGTAATCGAACGAGATAGGAATAAAAGGGCTCAATATTATTCCGAGTCCAGCAACTTGGGGCGAAAATGCCTTCCCTTCAATCTCACCTCAAATCTGTCGATGTACAATATCTATTACTATCGGTGTCCATCTACAACGAGGATATCAATCTCTATAGTAGTTCATGACCTCTAATGAACTAGCTTATCAGATATAATACTACCGAACTTGAATCCATGTACAATTAACCGCCCATTCTAAAACTCCAGCGCTAATCGGCCTTCTTTTCTTGCCTTTTCCGTTCGATCACCTCCCCCACAGCTTGCTGCACCCCGGAACTAGCCCGTACACTGCTCAGGACCAACCCCTCCTTCATGCCCTTGCGTAGCGTGGCAACGCTCTCCCGATCCCCTTTGAATGGCGCGAATCCCAACTGCAACAACCGCGTCGACTCACCGTCTGTAGCCCGGGAGAGCTGAGCTAATTGCGCGAGGCGCTGCATAGTTTGTGGGTGGATACGCTCGCCCGCTGCGGAAGACGACCCTTTGCTGACCTCTGGCGGTGTCACCTGCGAAATAAAGATATGCAGCATTACGGAGGCACGTTGCGCAAGGGTCAAGATCTGAAATGGTAGGAGATAGAAACTCGGTGTCTTCGTAGAAATCCCCAGTAACTTTTGCAGCTCCACAGGGATATAGGATGCGGGGAAGAACAATGCTCTGGGCTGCGTGATCAAAGCTAGTTCAAGAGTGATCAAGACAGCAAAAGTAAAAAAGCGCCACTGTGCACAGTTAGGGGGAAACAAACAACAACTGAAGATGATCACTTACATAACGACCCCAGTTGGACCACCAGGTAAAGTTCAAGATGATAATGGTCACGAATCCTCCCACATACTGCGGTATCGACCGCTGCAACCCCGTAAATAGAAAATCCTGCACGGTCTTGACATTGCTCCAGCCAAGGATATCGGGCCCAAATCTATCGTATGCAAACCGCTTCGCAGGATCCAGTAGGGTATCTTGCGCCAGCTTCAAATATACAAAGTAGTCGTCGGAAGGCATGCCATCCCCCTGGTTGATCTTGTCTGGATGATGCTGCGCAGCAAGCCGCCGGAATCGCGATTTTATCGTCCTATCATCGGCCAATGGAGAGACTCCAAGGGCTTTGTAAAAATCCCCGGCAGCCTGAACCCGATGAAATGTCTCATAGAGCGTGTATAGGAGATAGCTTGTCACGACCAGAATAAAGATACGACGGCGATGTCGGGCATAGCGCGGAGAGGGGGGTTGGGGTCGAGGTTCACCCGCACGAATGGTAATTCCATAGTAAATATTCTGAACTATGGAAGTCGCATACTATATCCCACGTTGTCAGTAACGGCCATAACGTGCTGTGTGGAGCGCAACGGGAACCTGGAGAGGAAAGGTGAAGGATGACACTCACATTTGGTAGAAATGCCCAACCAGCAAAAGATAAAAGAGAGGCCATAAGGTTACTACAATTCCGCTCTTGTAGGCAGGACGTGAAACCAGCTATTTCTTATTATATACAAAAGTTAGCGCCATAAAGCACTATCGCATGTTGTCTTCTTCCATGGAGTTGCGCTCGGCGCCTGCCCTGAGCCTTACCGCCCTAGATACCGCCTTCCATTTCCCCACATGAGCAAAGGAAAAGAAAAAAAAAAAGTTTCTCGACATCTGAAAATCCACCGGATATCAATTCTCAAGAGTACTCCACAGGCGCACCCATTGCGCCATTATCGAACACAATGGCCGTCGACGCGATGGAAATCGATTCGGACCAGGTCCCAGCCGCCGCACCATCCCCAGAAAAAGAGCGCAAGCGCAAGCACAAGACCAAGGATGCATCATCCTCATCGCCGTCAAAGAAGAAGCGCAAGCACGAATCGAGCCAATTCACCGACGAAAGTGCTACTCATGACAGTGAAAAGAAGAAAAAGAGCAAGAAGTCCAAGGATAAGGCAAAGAGTAAACAGGCCGGTACAGGAGGAGCACCAATTCCGGACTCGCCTTATGTTCTGACAACCGCAACGCTCTATCTTCCACTATCGCCCATCTCGATTTCCCCAACTCATGCTAAAGCCTCCCTCCTGGCGGAACATCTCTCTCCTCTCCTCCTTACTTATTATGCTCCCCTTCAAGGAATCGTCCTGGCCTACTCCGATGCCTCGATATCGAGTACTCCACCTTCCTCATCTACATCCTCTGATCCCGCAGACCCCAATCCGAAACCATTGACTCTCGCCAAGACGGCGGGCGAATATGGCGTGCTGTACGTTTACCTGACTGCGACGTTCCTGGTTTTCCGGCCACAAAAAGGTCAGATTCTCGAAGGGTGGGTCAACGTCCAGTCCGAAGGCTTCCTAGGTGCCGTTGTGCTCAACCTCTTCTCCGTCGGTATTGAACGTAAGAGACTCCCTTCGAACTGGAAATGGGTTCCACCAGGCGAAGAAGGCAGCGTCAACGGAGACCAGCAGAAGACAGCTACCGCATCAGAAGATGATGAATCCGAACCGTCTGCCTCCTTCGATCAAGAGAAAGAACACTTCAACCCCGTCTCGCTGGCAAACCCCGTCTCCGACACCGTTAATGAAGAGGTCAATGCTGAGGATGACGAATCTGTCGCGGAGGGCTACTTTCAGTCTGTATCTGGTCACCGTGTTCGCGGCACTGTCCGTTTCCGTGTCGTCGATGTCGACGTCATCCCCGGTTCAGAGCGCGATCGCAGTTTTCTTAGCATTGAGGGCACGATGCTCTCCCCGGAGGAGGAAGCCAGAGTACTTGAAGATGAGCGTAATGGTATCCTGACCACATCTGCCACCCCTCGGAGGGGACTCAGTCAAGAACCCCGCGTTTCCATGTCCGGCGCACTAGCAGCGCCATCGGTAGCTGCTATCCCAGAACCAGAAACTCCCAGCAAGACCAAGGAGCCGAAGGCCGAAAAGGAGAAGAAACCCAAATCCTCTAAGTCTAAGAAGAAGGAAAAGAAGGAGAAATGATTTATGGATTGAGTTTAACTCTGAGCGTATTACGTCTCGATTAAATTCAATCAAGTTATGTTTGTGTATAGAAGTTAGCATTTCATGTTCTATATTATTATTATCACGTTGGGCGTTAGAGGGAGAAATCAAAACTTATTCTGGAACTATACATGCGACCCTTGCGGAAGATATATATCTGCATGTTATATCTTATATGTGCAAAGCTAGACCAATCGACAACGTTGGTTGTTTGATCAAATGGTGCAATAAGCTGATAATATATATCGATTGGTAACCATATAAGCTTTTTTTGAAAGACTTAAATAGCGAGCTCACCCATGAATTAAGAGCAATCAATAATCTGTACTATTGAAGCAAACAATGTGAATTAAATCCTTATACCCTCCGGCAACCCTACTTTCAAGACATCAACACCACTTTCAATCTGGGACTTAGGCGGCATATCCTTCCGGCGCATCAACTCCGCACACTTCACCATAATGGGATCCATGCCCATCGTGGCAACGGCGACCACTGTATCGCCCTTACAGTAGTATGCGGCGAACTTGGCGTTCTTGGGCTCGCCCTTCAAAACCATGCTATCCCAGCCATTTGGCGTATTGCCGCAGTACCGCAATTGAGCGCCCACGGCAGACCAGAAAATTGGGATGAAGGCCTTCGGTTTCAGGGATTGTAGCGATGAGGCCGAGCTTGTGAGGCTATGAACAATGGCGCGGGCGACGCCGCGGCCAGCATTTTGCGCAACGTTCCAGTGTTCGATGCGAGTATGGGTGCCCTTTGGATCCGTACCGGGGCCATGATAAGGGTATGTGGCAATGTCACCGATGGCAAAGACATGGTTGTCTAGACCAGGGACAGCAAAGTGCTCATTAGTCCTGATGGAACCGTCATTCTCTAAAGTAATAGCCTGATTGTTCTTGAGGAAGTCGGTTGCTGGACGCACGCCGACACCCAGAATGACAAGGTCGGCTTCGAGGATGGTGCCGTCATTGAGGTGGACTGCCCCGACCTTGCTGGAATCCGAGCTAGAAGGTGTGGCTTTCGCAACGCCGGCCTGAAGCTTGAATTTGACACCCGCCTTCTCCAGATTGCCTTGAATGATTCGGCCGACCTCCTCACCCAGGACGCGTTCCATAGGGGCCTTTTCTTGACCGACAATGGTGACATCGTTTTCTTTGGCGAGTGCGTTGCCCACCTCCATACCAATGAATGAGCTACCAATGACGACGATCTTCTTGTTCTTCTCGCCTACTGCCTTGAGGATGGACTGTACGTCGGTGACAAAGCGCAGGAGGAAGATGTTGCCTAGTTCGTTAAAGCCTTCCACAGGGAGAGTGCGTGGCACACCTCCAGTAGCAAGTACCAGCTTGGTGTATGGGTATGCCTTGCCCGACTTAGTGGCCACAGTCTTCTTGTTGAAGTCCACCGACGTCACTTCATCAGTGACGGTCTCAACGGAGACGCTCTCGTACCACTCACGAGGGCGCCACTCGATCTTTGAAGGATCTGAGATCAGAGCCTTGGATAACTTGGTTCTGTCAATAGGCAGATTGGGCTCTCGAGAAATGATGGTGATGTCACCCTTGTATTTCAACTCGCGAATGGCCTCTACAACACCAAAAGTACCGCTTCCACTGCCTGGAGTTAGATCCACTGCCACCAGGAATGATGCATGCATTAAGAGATCTTACCCTCCTACAATGACCAACTTCTCCGGAGTGGAAGCACTGCACGGGGCAACCGGATCTCTTTGACCGGACTTAATGGTCGACTCCTCTCCCTTGATGTAAACCGCACCATTCTTCTCAAAGACTTCAAACTTATGCAAAGCTTTGGGAGCGGGCGCATCCTCTACATCTCCGGTACTGATATTAAAGCATGCTACGGATAACAATCAGTCTATAATGTCCTTCAGCTAGAGCAGAATGTGGCAGACTTACCTCCATGCCATGGGCAAGTAATCCGTCCCTCCGGAGCAACAACACCAAGTTTCAACGGAGCTCCATAGTGGGTACACTTAGGACTCATGGCATGAAATTGACCTTCAAAGTTTACCACTAGGACCTTACCGCCCTCTATACCTTCCACTTCGGACTCCACCTTGTCCATTTCCCTGATGTCCGCCAGGGACGAGATGTCCTTGAGTTTATATTCTTGTGCCATTTTTGGTGATGTGTGAAAGAGATTACAGGAATGTGCTGAAGAGAATGGTCGACTATGAACGGAAGCTGACCCGGCTGGTGTTGTGAGACGTCTAGATGACAGCGGGGTAAATTGAGAGCAAGGAGAAGTAGACAACAATAACCTAGAGAATGCGAAGCGGCGTGAGTGGGCTAAGTGGAGTGAGGTTGGGTGAGTGCAGCACGAGCAAGAGCAGACGATAGAATTGCGACAACCACAGCGGCAACGGGGGGTGGCGGTAGAATAAGAAGAGGAAAAAGGGATATGACGAGGAGAGGACAGCGAGTAGAAAACAGGTGATGAGAAGCTGTTGCGCGCCCCGCGAGAGAGGGGTACGTGCATTAGGATTGGGCGAGTTCAATGGATCTGAAGAGTACCTTCTCAGGTGCTAGTAGGAATGAATTATCTACTAGTAGACGTTTGATAATTTTGTTAAGGGAATTGGAGGTTACTAAAGCTTACAGAGAGAGAAAGAGAGAAAGGAAGGGATGCCTTCATCTATGGATTATTTGTTCTCCTGCCTGCGGTCATGATTATTTCATAGTATTGGGTTTCATAGATTAAAAGATGAAATTAATTAATTCATTGATAGTTAAACTCCTGGATGGAGCAATGCCATGACGTAAACGGACGGCCAATCAGCGACCAGGTTTTGTCAGACGTCATCAACGTCATCCTTCATCCATTTTGGCAGTTTATTGACTTATTGAACTATACACAGGATATCTCTTAATATGTACCATACCACAAACACATAGATACTCATACAAACCTTGATGGTCCAGAGCCATCATCGCCAGATGGCGCAAGAGTACACCAACCAACAAGAAAGATCAAGGAGACATTCGCTTACGATTCCGATCTCCGCTTTCCCCGCCGGGGTGATGGACTAATGCTGACCTCTTTCAGGACCTGTACTCTTGGCCCCACAGACGACAACCTGGTTTGTCTGCGGGTACTGGGGATACCATTCTGCATCCATCCTGGGCCTCGGGGAGGGCTGGATTGAGTCAAGTCGATTATTTCGCGGGATGTGGAGGAATCCTGAGTGCCCGGTGAGACGCTCCCTATGGCAGCGCTGAGCAATGATTCATCTTGCGACGGGTAGGGCTTCTTTTTCATCCTTGTTGACCGGTGCGGAGAAGGCGAAGAAGGAAATTCCACTGCGGACACATAATCCATTGTTGTATCGCCTTCCTTAATGCTGTGTCTCTGCTTTCGAGAACTACGTCGACGCCGGGTTTCGCGGGCGTTGTCGCTTTTGTAGAACGGATTGGGAACGACGGAATCAGTCGATGACCGAGAGACCGACCTTTCCGGAGGTTGATTCACTTCCCTTTTGACCGCAGGTGAGTTATTTGTCCCTTCGTTGCCATCGAACAGCTGGTCCATCAGGCGGCCGAACGAAACTCCGCTCCCTGGGGTGCTAAGCACCTGCAGATCGTCGTCGGATGGCGGTAGCGATGAGAAATTATCAGGAAAAATGGGAGACGGAGAAGAGTGGGACATAGACTGAACATCATTTCCCGGAAGGGGATGAGGACCGGGGCGAGTGCTGTCAGAATCATTCGCTTTCTGATCCGTAGCAGATGACTTCAGCGCCTGCCCTGATGTCGGGCTATAAGGCTGGAACCCATCAAACGTCGGTGACTTGATCTCAGGACTGACACCTCCTGTAGAAACATGTGTGTCATCAGTCGTACTACTTGTAGGTACCTCAGGATCCGGGTTGCTAAGCAGCTTGCTGGATCCCTTGAATGTCTGTTCACCATTTGCTAACTCGCTGGACGTCTCAGGCTGATTTGTAGCCGGACTGGGATTTCGCGGAAATACCTCTGGGGAACTTGGTCGGGTGAGCGCATGATTGCGAGGCAACTCGAAAGTAAAAAGGAGATCAATGTACTGACTTGCTGGTCTGCTTAGTCTTTTCAAGTTCTGCAGGCCGAAGAAGCTTCGGCTCAATAAGATCGGCAAAGGACATCTCTCTGAAGCCGTCATCTTCACCATCGTCTTCGTAGCCCGGCATTTCAAATCCAGTGTACTGAGGTTCATCTTCCTCAAGCTCTGTTTCCTTGACCTGTCTGCGATCTCGCTTCGCAAGCCGAAGATTGAGGATATTATCATCATACAAGTCATGTATCTCGGCAACGCGAAAATCGGTCACGGTGGGTTGCCAATTTGTGGCCTTCGACACATCCAACTGTTTAAAGGCAAGTACGCATCCACGTTTTAAGTCATCTTCAACAAGATCGCGAAGAGAGCTTCGGTCACTTGGTACTGAAGGTAAATCATCTGATTTTTCCTCTGCATTCTGCGCATCTTCGTGATTGTTTGCCTCGATGTACAGTTGCTCCGAGTCATCGTAGTTGAGCTGCAGATCACCGTCGACAAAACTATCCTCACCACCTCCATTATCATCATCTTCCTCATCGTAGACTTGGAGTTGCTGGCGCCTTTTCCTCTTCTTCCCTAAGCCCTTCCGTTGTCTTATGAGGTCACCTGCTTCGTAATCCCAACGCTGCTCGAAAGGGAAAGGAGGCGGTGTTAACTGAATGTCATCATAAACGCATTCAGTAGCTCTAATTATGAGTTTATTTTCCCAGTCCTCCTCCAGGTCACTCTCAAGAGCACCTGTAGGCTCATCAGACACTTTCTTCTGAGGAACGAAATTGCTTGCCTTCCCAGCGAGTTTCTTTCGGGTAGCTTCCTCGTCTTCTTTAGTCCGCGGCGTTCTAACACCAAGTGAGCCGAAGAGTAACCTTCTGGAGCTTGCAACATCTAGGGTACGTCGTTTTGGCTCTGGACCAACTTCGCCGGCCTCCTCCACAGCAGCGTCACGCTCCTTTGTGAGCTCTTTCGACTGCTTCTGATTGCTTCCCTCCGCCGACTTTAGAGGGGAAAAAGTACCGTCGGTGATGTCGATGCCCCCTGATTCAATATCGCGCAGCAACCTTTGTCGTCTTTCCTCGAACTCTTTCATCTCAAGGCCTTTACTGGAACCCGAGCTTTCAGGCACAAAACGCCGGCCCTCATTCTTTTCCTCCCAGTCTCGCAGAGCAGCAAAATCTGCCTCCGCGGGTAACGCACCGAGCTCCTTCAACTTTGACAGCCTTCGTCGCAATTTATTGCGTTGATTGCTCTTCTTCGTTTTTATGGAGCCATGGCCAGGTGGATTGGCTACAAGGGGAGCCGCTGATATCTCTTCATCTTCCGACTCTGAAGTGGAAATTCCTGAGTCAGAGCTAGAATCATCACTTAGTTCGGAGGATGATTCATCCGAAGAACTTGAGTCCTCATCGGAATCTGTGACACTGGAGTCACTCACAGAAGAGCTGCTGGCACTGTCGCTTGAATTGGAGCTTGACTCCGAAGCTGACGGTACTTTGGTTAGGGAGGATTCTTGGGGAGGAAGCATCGGCGATTCCTCTTTTTGCTGACTGAACCTAACTGCCTTGGAATCCCTTCGGAAGGACCCTGTTTCTGAGGAAGCCTGAATGGCCTGTGCAACTGAACCTCTGGTTGGCACTGCCTGCGGGATACTCAGCCTTGAGCGCAATGCGTAGCCTCTGCGCTCAGCTTCATGTTGTTCATCATCCGTGGGCTCGGTTTCTGGCATGGCTGAGATATCTAGATCCTCTTTTAGGTCCTTCAACTCATCTTCCAAGTCCCTAGCATCGATATCGGATGCGTCTGTGTCACTTTCTGATGCTTCGGCATCTTCAGTGTCATCAACGTGATGGCGAATAACGGTACCATTACCAGCATCCTCGTGACTCTCATGGTAGTCCTCATATTCATCCTCATCCTCATCGTCATTATACTCCACATTACCATCCATAATACCACTTTCAGGCTCATCAACGCCTCTGAGAGCAGAAAGCTCTTGGAAAGAGCGAATTCGCGGAAGATCCCACTCCGTATCCTCCTCGTGATATCCTCCTATATTATCTTGCGTCGCAAATGTCGTACGCCTTCTCTTACGTGGGGGGATCGTAATCGCAGGTCTTGAAGAGACAGGTCTTTTCAGAAAAGGTTTTCCAAAAGGTACACCGTCTATGAGGTGCTTGCCATCGGTCGAGATTTGATGCCGCCCAGTCAATCGCCTAGCCCGCAAGTCGGATATTTGTAGTGCGCGAATCCTTGATTGGTCGGGTGTAAGTAAACGACACTGTAATGCATGCTTCGTCGGTACATGGTGCCTGAGTACTCACAAAATTTCGTCCCCATCTCTTAAAAGACCTTCCACCTCCATGAAATGTAGACACTCGGAGCCCCCAACTTCAACTACATAGTCTTCAAGTCCCCATTGCCCACTGAATTCACTGTCAAACAGTGCCGGCTCCGTCTCAAGAGGAACAACCTCATTTACATCTTCTAGGAGCTGAGCAATAGTATAGCCGCCATTCGCATAGAGCGCATTAGGCGCGCGCGAAGAGGTAATAGCTGAAGCAAATGCAGGGAGCGCAGACGATGTATTCTGACCGTAAAGAGACGGCGATGCCGTCGTCCACAAAATGCGCGTTACGGGTAGACCGTGGCGTTGAATAACGAGGTGGAGACGCATGATGGGGAATGTCTGATTGATATATCTTTCCTTCTTCGGGATTATTGAAATTTAATCATTGAGAAATAGCGCTAGTGAGGCAATGTAACATGCAATTGTAATAGGTGAGGCCCTGTAGGATTGATCGCGTCGGGTACTCTCACAGTTATGTAGTAAAACAAGTAGCTCGGACCTTCTGGCAATGGGAAGAATATGTAGAGCCGGTAATTCAGTTAGCTAGAAAGGATTGAATTAGTATGGAACCAGTGAATCAATAGGGAAGAACATATTGTGGCAAGACAATTTTCATGGGGCGCGTGAAGTAACACAAGAGAAGCTCGACAAAAGAGAACCAGAGCTTACTTTTCCGAATTTAAATATCGCCCTAGACCTGATTCGTCCCACTAGTGCCTAAGGCCAACATAAGATATACTACTGGAATCACTCACCGCAACTTGGGTAGGATTTATTAGTAGGAGTAGTACAGAACTAAATATGGACGGGAAAACAAACAATGAGATTTTCAGCCTAACTGTATTCTAGCCCTTGGTGGTTTAGTGAGAAAGGTGCTGCTGCGTCGCTTACAATACCAATACCATTGGGCACATGGATGGTGTTGAATAATCCAAAGTAGTTACATGTATGTAGAATGACATTACAATTACTATGTGTATCATGTACGAGTAAAGATAGGGGAATTACATGTGTCCTATCCATAGAGAAGGTATGGTATCGAGCGCACTTAAAAGAAAAGACAGAAAAAGACAAGTGCCCCTAAAAACTCCAGTTGATGCACGTCTGATCCGCGTATCACTTAAAACAACAACGGTTGCCAATGCGTCATTTTGCCGCTGCTCGGAGCAAATGTTATCCATGTTGAAATCCCCAGACCCTTTACTTGGTGTTATCGCTTTTAGGCTTTTCCTAGCCCAAACAAGGCCACTAAGGCCGGTCGTTGAATATTGAGTTGAATTATGGAAGTTCACGGCCAGGTGCAAAAGAAGTCTATTAGTTGCGTGATCCTAGAAGATTAAGCATCCCCAGAATTTGGACCCCGTGGGACAGGCTTCCTGTTGGGAACACCTAGTTTTAGAGCCCGAACATCTGGCCTGGATGAATTTGGCTGTACTTGGCTTCCGGGCGACTGCGGTTGGTGATCTGCTACAGGCTGATATTGGGGTGGGCTGTCTTCCTGAAGAGCCGCGAGTTTGTGAATCTTGAGGACACTTTGTTGCCGTGCGACGGGGGATGTAGGGGGAGACCCGGTCTGTGGTTCGGGAGGAGTGGACGGAAGCATATCGAAAGACTCAGACGACGAATTCGCTTCGCGGTTGCTGTAGGGCGCCCGGGGCTCAGGATCCTTTCCCGGTTGAACTGGCGTGCTTGGATCAGTTCCAAATTCAATAGGTCTTCCGGTGGAGGAGGCAGCTGGTGGGTTATACTCGCGACGGGGGCCATCCACAGGACTCAGAGTTTCAGCCATTGCGTCCTCGTAGCTCGGGGGCGCGTCATCGTAACCATCCTCCGGATTCAAAGGTGCGGGAGGTCTAGTAGGCCTCGGAGGCATCGGAGGCGGTGCACTGGCTTCCTGGGAAGGTCGGCTTGGCTTGGTAGGAGAAACTGTAGGATGAATGTGCCCGCTTTGAGCCATGGCGTCCAGAAGCGCCTGGGGCGGGGAGATTCCAGAGTAGACTTTGACAGGCATCCGTAACGGCAGTACAATGAGCTGGGGCTTGTATAATTAGTGGATGCGCATTAATGAGGTGAGGGGACCGTACTTTCATATTACCGACAGTGCCATGACTCAAACCAACCCGCACTTCTAACTCATATGTCCTCGAGATATTGCAAGTTTCAAAGGTTGGTGCAATTGAGCTTGGGAGAGGTATGTGACTCCACATACTGGCATCGATAGTCCATTCAGTGCCAACTGGATCGCCTCCTCTCCCAAGTGGAACAGCCATATTACTGCGGCTGAAGATGACCGAAGTGTTGGTTTCATTCCGTTTTAGGTCATGGGCAAGAATATTGGTATAGCCGATCAACTCAATTTGTAGTGTCTGCAAGAATATCGTTTCATATGACTCCGAAGTTTTGCTGACAAGGATACGTAGCGGGATGGGTTCGTTACATGTGAGTATCGAGGGATTCGGTAATCTGATGTCTGCGGATACGCGAGGCGAATCACTGGAAGAATCTCGGAGAGAAGAACTGGAGCCTTTTTGAAACAAACTCTTCATCTTTGATGTACTGGGGGCTTTGGCAAACTGATGTTGACGTCGTGCATATGTTTCTTCGCCCGGATTGCCGGTTCTCGGCGGTTCAATGGGGAGGAAGTTTATATTGGTAATCTACAATAAAGTCAGCTTTTCAAGCAAATGTACCACAAGCCGTTTCGGAATGGTGTCTATTCAAGGCTCGAAACTTGGCTTGCATACATACCGTCCTTATATTTTCTTTATAGAATTGCGGCCTAATCACTGTTGCTTTGACGTAATATTTGATGTCTGCCATTTGAGGGAAGCCACTCAATGATGGAGGTAATGTTTTCTTCACATGTCGATGTGTATCGCGAGCTACCTCAACTTTGAGACCACTAATGTTGAGGTTGGTGAGCATGCTATTCTGAAAGCTACATGCATTGTTGAAGGGAAACTAAGCCAAAATCAGCACATCTCACCATGTTAGGACATTGATTTCTCTAGCCTACCTTGAATTGAAAGGGATACTCGTAAGTCCCTGCAGCAAAAGTCCAAACGGTATTCGGAGTGTTCTCATTGAAGACAGCTGGTGTTGGGAAGAGATTGAGGATCTTGTATAAGATCTATCTGATCATGAGCAAAGGTAGAAGCGCGAAGAGAAAAAAAAAAGAATGAAAGAAAGAAAAGAGAAGAAAAGTAAAGTAGCGCCGTACCTTATGAACCTCAATCTCGGTGCGCTTTTTATCAGATTGCTCATGGTGTGGATGTCGCGGTCCTGAAAGGCGGGTTCGACTTTCTCCTTCCAATTTAACTTGGATCCCACTTATTTGAGTCTCTGAAGTCAGTTTTACCACAACCTTGCCCGTGAGGAAATCGAGGTTGGTAAAGTGCGTGTGCGGACTGTCGATGTAGAGAGTTGCGGACATTGCGGGACCACCTCAACTGCACGAGCCACCACTCCTCCAATGGGCCGTCTGAGTCGTTGCAATATTGAGTGGAAGAAAGAAATGTAAGCTCAAAATCCTCAGTTGGTAGCTGAAGACTCTTATCAAGCCCGACCAAATATTGTGTGGGTCAAAAGAAACAAAGGAAGTTGGGGCGGAAGTCCGGCAAGCCCTACGAGATATACGAGGGGGGGATGACGTTAAAAGTCAGGGACAAGAACAGCGGGCGTGGGGCAGCGATTCACCAAAGTCTCGGCGCGTAATAAATACTGTAAAAGGAACAAAAGAAGTAACAAACAGAAAAGCGTAGACTAGACAGGTCCCTTTTTAATCTAGCTCGTCTTAGATTATAGAGTACAGTTCGACAGTATTTATTAAGGTCCTGATTCATTTCAATGCTTTGTCAATGGGAGGATCATCCAAGGGTCTGGTTACATTTTAATGGGTCTGGCCCGTTCATTTAATGGCATTGCCGACGGCTAAGCCACTCTCTCACACCGTGCAAGTGTTGCACCGCCACCTTCCATGAAGTATTAAGCGCCTTATCATGGACTCCGACAGCAAACATGGACCAGTGATAGAATGTGTCATGATCACCCATGAATGATTCTGATTGGGTATGCACACTTTCTAGAATGAACTAGTAGTCTAGACCCGAGCCCCCCGTGGGTTATACGAAGTATACTCTAGGCACCAAGATTCTTTCTTCAGTAGCTTCTCAACGCACAACCACATTATAGACCCTCCTTCGCAAGCATGTCTGAGAAAATACATTGTACCAAACCGTCAGCCACATATACTCGAGTCACGTCTGAATGGTTGCTACATACCTGCAATGGCAAGGTAGAACGCGAGTGCATTGAACCTAGGATCGAGCATTAATGTCAGCTACGATCAAACGGATTTTGGGAACGGAAGGCTACTAGACGGACCTTCGCCTGTTCCCCGTGACCTCACCAGCTAGCCACTTCAATCTGTTAGTCCAATTTATCAGGTCCAAGTGGTTCACCCCCATGAGGGTGCCCTTATAGCCGTCTTCCCCTCCCCACCTGCTACTGGCAACGCTCACTAGCCCGTCATTATGGCCTTCGACCTGCTCAAGGTACCTATGGGATAGGCGGAATACAGACCAAAAGCTTGGCTGCATTGATGCCCCATAAGAAAAGTATCTGCACCGACTCAGCCTTACATTAACTAACCCACGGTAACAAGGAACACATACCGGACGTCTTCAACATCAGGAGTGGTAGGATTGAACGTCTTTTCCATGTAATTTCGTGTCAACTGAGAGAAAGCACCTGTCTCAAACTTTATTTGTTCGAGAGCATAATATACTTGAGCAAGACGCTCATCTATACATCAACATCATGAGCTTCCTTGGTATGTCATGATCGGGGTGCCAGACAAACTAACCACCGATCTGCTTTAGAAGGTAGTCCGCAACTGACGAGCCTGCAATTTGATTAGCTAGCAGTATCTGTTTAATACTCATGCTGCGATTGACCTCTGTGAGGAGTTGCAATGGTCGTCAGAGATAGAACTTTAAAGTTCTTCGGTCGCAGATGGCTGATCATATACCGGGAATCAAGCCCACTAAAACATGAATCAATTTAACGGACTATTCCGTTTGACATGGAGGCCTCACCCCTAGTGAGATGTGTGAATAAGCATGTCCTTTTTAAGCATTAATTGGGTATTTTGTTTACCATGCTATGACTGTGCTGGGTTAGCTAAGTGAGCCGAAGGCTTCCAAAAACTCGATACCGACAAAGAAAAGGTGGTAATATTACATACGCAATAATATTAACAGCCTTCCCTTGAGCACCAGCAGCAATATCCTTTGCTAGTTCCTCAGCACGTGCTTCGATTGACCCCGAAGGAGGTACTGTAGCGGTGATGACCTCGATTCCTTTCACTAAAAGCGCCTCTTTAATACCGCGCCAGTATTGCACACTAGGAAAGTAAGGACCGGCGAGGCGTAATTCATCGAACCCAAGAAGCCCATGCGCCAGGACAATGGCGTGCTTTGGGGTGTCTAAGTCAGTGTATTAGTGCTGATGAACAGTGTTTTTGCATGCATACAGACACAACTCTAAGGGATTGAAATAAATGGCAGCAACTGACCATAATCTTTCCGAATTACCGCATATTCATCCTCAATGACTTTCCCCAGCCCTTCCAGTCGTGGGTCAGACCCCGTGGCCTCATGGAGATGAGACCTACAAGTTAACGAATGGAACCCGCGCGGAATTCGATGATTGAGCCGAGGGTACCGACAGACGCTCTTCAGGCTGACAAACCTATTGTTTGCGCGCAGAGTAACGACGGCGTATCTCATCTTCTATATTCCTAGTGTGTGGTTTGGAATATGATGTTATTGGGGGCATTGCGGGATGATGTAATAGCTGTCGGAGCCTAAAAAAAGTGTGCCTGAGGCTAAAAGAGTTGAGAAATACAACCAAGGCATGTGCCAAAACATCAGCTTAGAGTGAAACACGGCAGTTCAACATAAACCTGTGTATGCGGTTTGTACTAGGCTACTGGCGAGCAAAAGGCTGTCAAAGGCCTAGAATACTATTGAAGTGCCTACCTGTCTATGAGTATGGACTCCAGGGAACGATGTAAACATCGGACTGCTGTAGCCTTCGAGCTAAGCAGATGTCTAGAACCCCGACTCAATGTTTTTGATAGTAAATATTGTCCTATCAGAGCCATCCGAGCTCAATGGTATTTGAAGAAATACCCCAGCAATATAGAGCCACGACCCAGATCTTGCCAAAGCCGAAGTAGGCGTTATTCAGCGTTGACAACATCTGCCGGGGTCGGCTTCGATGAGATTAGACGCGGTTAGAGCCAAAACAATGAAACAAACGCTATATTCACAGCATTTAAAATAGTAAACCCCAAATAAACATATCCCCTCAGTGTCGCCAGAGAAGCCCCATGGCCGCACGCCTATGCCTGGCTCAAAATCTTTTCGGAAGCCTCAGGTTTCACATCAGTCAATGCACTGATAAGGTCTTCGACAACCTTAGCGCCCTTGCTGTTTCCAGCTTCCTTGATTTCCTGCAGCTTCACTTCTGCCTCCTTGTTTGCATCCTCTTCGGCTTTCTTGTATCCGCTCGAGTGCTAATGTTGAGGGGCATGTGCAGTTAGCCATTTGAGCCCTGTAAATCTACAAATAGAAGATATCCTTAACACTCATTGAGCGGGATCATGCTCACCTCAGCCTCGAATTTCTTGAACTCTTGCTCTTTCTGGTTTCTGTATTCCTCGATTTCCTTCTGTGCCTCCGACTTCGCGTCCCTTATGCGCTTCGTACGGTCTAAAGATTACACATCAGGTCTGTGCATGTTATGTCGAGAGGACTGGGGGGAAAATCATACATTCTCTAGCTGAACAAGCGCGATGCGTCAGTACATTAGATGTTTCCAAGTTTGTATCTAACAAGCATACCTTGTTGAACAATCTTCTGTGCCTCTCTCTCAGCCTAGTACTTGCGTTAAATCATGCAGCCTTTGCGATGTATCATGCCAACATGACCTACATCGAGGAGGGTTTGAATGCCTGCGGAGTTCTGAGCGGACTATAGCATATTGTTAGCATCACCAGCTTTAACAACCACGCATATCCATGCACTCACCATGTTTACTAGTATATGCTCTTGGCTGACAACGAAAATCGAAAAAAGAGAGAGGGAAGGAGTAAGGATACAGTACAGATAAGGCGGAGGCGTGGAGATGCGCCGAGGATCTCCCCGACGAGTGGTCAGCTCTAGGCGGTCTGTATTCTGCCATTTATCACCGCCATGGTGATAGTGGCCGATAATCCGCTGCAGGTTCTGGATCATGCCAGAGTTCTTTGGATCTGTGGTGTCTGCTAATTATTTTTCCTAATCCAATATTCACAATCGGAAACATATCAAGATGTCCCGAGCATCTAAGCTGACATTGGCTGCTACCGGCTTGGGTACGGCGGGAATTATCTACTTCGTTCACTGGGCACAAGAACAAGAGAAAGCTGTATGTACCTTGCTCTGAAACGTTGACCGATGCTAACTCTTGGTCATTCCTGAAGTCCATGCATAAGGGTGTTGAGCGAGATATGGAGAAGCAGCGCATTCGACAAGAACGGCAGGCCGAGTTTGAGATTCAACGAAGACTTGAAGAAGAATATAGGCAGCTTCAAACTGTCTCCCCGAGCATAGAAGATCAGAGTGGAGGCAAAGCGAAACAGGGGAGAGGGACATAATATTCAAAATCATTGAAACCGTGTTAGATTGAGTTGGATGTTATGCTCTACGCTATAGACTATCATCTGGTGAGTCCAAAGCCCTTAAGGAACGACTACTTTGAAGAGTGGCCCTCAAACATAACTAAACTGAATATAGTGATAGATGACTGGCTCCTGTATAATATACCCGAATGTACAGTACATGATATAGAATCCCTGCTCCGACGCACGCACTCACTTTTACATTGTCATAAGGATGACTTTGGATCTCTTGGACGCACCTGTATGACCTTCTTATGTAGCTGCAGTTTAGCACCACAACTATCGATTGGATGTGGCGGAGAGTAGATGAAAGACCATGCCATGGATCTTATCATCGGGAATCTAGAAACTTCTTAAAGCAGACACCATAGTCTGTTTTCCTGTTCTCTACCTTTTTCTCCAGATCGCCTAGCATGCTCACAGTTTGCTCTAAAAAATATCTATAGGGAATTGTCCAGGGTATATATAGAGTGTTTCGTGTACAACACCGAGCATGTAACTACTAGTAGACACGGTATCGCACATAAAAGATGGCCGGCTATTATCGGAGGCCGGCCCAATTCCGGCCTCATGCAACTAGGAAAGGCTATTTTGCTCTTGATCCGAACTTCCTGACGAATCAAGGAAATTAATGTGGGGTAATATGTCTTGGCAGAGAGCGAAATATAGAGCAGACATGTCGCTTTACACGTACATTCATGATAAGTATACAATGAATATGCTTTGATTTGGAGGATTTCAGGCCTTAAGTGATGAGGTGGGTCTGTTATATACCAACATAGTCTTTTGAATTGGCATACAAGCTGCTAGAGCAAGAAAAGGCGTCACTGTAGCATAGTGAAGTCACTGCTACATTTGGCTTAGCGTGTCCCCGTGATCCTAGCTTGCCCTCGATGCCAAGGATCTGTATAGATCTCTTGTATATGTCTTTGAGGATGAAGATATAGATAGAGGGGTTGGTGTTCACATCAGCTATTGCGAAGAGACCTCAATATTTCATATCAAGATGCTTATCAGTCGTGATATCAGAGTGATACCGGCCAGAATCAAGTCTCCACGGGGTTTTCTTATTCTTTTGGTAATAGTGCCATCGAGGCCGGAATTGATACCGGCCTCTGAATGTTATAAGAATCGCCTCCTTTCCCGCCCAAATCCATTCATTCAAATCACTATTCTCGAGCCATAAGAGATCGTAGTTCTCATCTAAAAAGCTCCCGTTTCCTTTTTTCATTCTCCCTTCGTCTTTTGGTGGTCCCTCTACCTCTTTTCTTCTCTTTGATACATATTGTCTCCCATACAATTACTCTTAAGATATAGACACTGTCTTTCCCCCTTTCTGTCACTTCCAAAATGACACAGACCAAGACTCCCCCAACCTCTTCTACCACTGTGAAGCGTTTCCCTCATATCCATGATGACCCGGCAACCTTGCCCAAGTCTTTGGACCCCTTCACTATCACCACATCTACGGGCTTCATGCCCTTCATAATGTCCCCTACCCAACTGCCCGAACCCTTCCAACCTTTGGTGTCCTTGCTTGAGCGTCTTCCTGTGGAGAAGCTTGATGGTACCCCTGGTCTTCTGGCTACCTATGAGCTGGGCCCTGCCGTCCAGGAGCTTCCTGACCTCACCGCCGAAGTTGACAAGCTGGTCACAGCTGATGGCTCCCCAGACCTCTATGCTGTCACTGCTGTCTTCCGTGATTACTCTTTCTTGGCATCTTCCTACCTTCTTGAGCCATGCTGGGAGAACTGGTGCAAGAATCCTGACAAGGGGTATGGTCTGGGACGTGACGTGCTTCCTAGGGCTGTGGCTTGTCCTATGTACCGTTGTGCTCAACTGTATGTTACACCACCAAGCAATCCTATCTTCTCTCAATCTACATTGAGGTATCACACAAAGTCATACTAACTAACCATCATTAGCTTGGACATCCCCCCTTTCATGTCCTATGCTGCCGCATACTCTCTCTTCAACTACACCCTTGCCGATCCAAAGAAGGGTCTAGTATATGACAACCTCCGTCTTGTCCGGGCCTTTGAACATGGCCTGAACCCTAAGTCCTCCGAGGCTGGGTTCATCCTGACTCATATAGACATGGTCAAGGAGTCCAATGGTCTGATTAGCGGAGCCCTGAAGGTCGTCGACACCATTGAACAAGACGGTTCTCGTGCCGAAGTCAACGACGGCTTCAGAGAGATCCTGGCATCCATGGAGAAGATCGAAGCCTGCATGGAAGGTACGCAACCCTCCCGATACCTCAGCTACACCCAAACCGAACATAAAACTGATTCATCCTAGATATGTGGGCCAACTCCAAGCCCAGCGAGTACCTCTCCTTCCGTGTCTTCATTTTCGGAATCACCAACCAATCCATGTTCCCGAACGGCGTGATCTACGACGGCGTCCTCGACAACAAGCCACTCAACTTCCGTGGCGAAAGCGGCGCCAATGACAGCATGGTATGTGCTCCACCACCCTCCTACTATCTAACCCCCAAAGCTAACCCACCCAGATCCCCCTCCTGGACCACCTCTGCCAGATCCCCATGCCGTCCACTCCTCTCACCAAGATCCTGCACGAGTTCCGCGCCTACCGCCCACTCCCCCACCGCGAGTTCCTCGCCTACATGAACTCCAAGGCCGAGGAGGTCGGCGTCCGCGACTTCGTAGTCAAGGATACTGAGACTGCCATCCTCTTCTTGAAGACCCTGAACCATGTGCGGAGCTTCCGCTGGCGTCATTGGCTGTTTGCCCGCGAGTATATCATTCGTCGTACCCCTCACCCCACTGCTACCGGTGGTAGCCCTATTGTTACAGTATGTTTCCTTCCTGGAGTGTTATCAAGCATTGGAGATGAATCAATGGCTAACGGGTGGTTACAGTGGCTTCCTAACCAGCTCTCGGCTGTTATGGATATGATGATCTCGATCTACGATACTTATCTTGCTCCGCAGAAGGAGCCGGAGTATTCGGCTAATGGCCTGACTGGGTATGATGCCGCTTTCCAGAAACAGGTTGAGCCGATGATGGAGATGGTGCGTGATCAGAAGGATAAGTTGGCCAAGGAGGTTGAGAAGTGGTGCCAGGAGAGGGGCAACGGCTTCTGAGGACCGTGAGTGCCTATGAAAATGAATGCGGGTGTGGATTTGTTGCTTCTGTATATACCTGGACATACTAGCGAGGCCTGAAATAAATCAAGTACAACAAGATTTTGATTTCTTCCATTGCGAATAGGAATACCTAACTCCATTCCTATCAATAATTTGGATCCAGTTTCGCTAAAATTCACTTCAGGAGGACGCGTCGTATTTTGTATTGTGTGTTTGTGTATAATTATATATTTGGTTAAATTTCCCGGAATAGTTGATCAGATCCGCTGAATATACTCGGTTGCATGGTAAAAAGCACCGCTCGCTAAGGCAAAGTTGACGCCAGGACGCCAGTATCGTTCACGCAATGATTCTTGGAGTGCTCGTCTTTGTATACATATCATCGGGTCAGGTGATTATCTCAATGCCGTGTGCCCGACCATATGCGATTGCGTCTGGTGAGACATGCTCACACCCTTTTACATGTAGCCGTTCGATCTTCATGACATCGCCTTCAGAGGCTCGGGCATCAGCGAATGTTTTGATGGAGATGCCAGTGATCTCGGTATAAGCCATGTAAATGACTTTCAGTTTATGCATCTTCTCAACAATCATGTGCGAGAAGTCATCATTAATCCCGATAACATGGGAGACGTTGAGTTCTTTTAGATCGGTGGCATATTTGCATAGACTGTGCCAGAATGCAGTCCCGCGCAATCGGAAACAGCTGTCTACATGGAGTATCTCAAGTGGGGCTTTGGCTTCCACAAGAAAGATAAGCATGGTGTTATTCGAGACCCAAGGCACATCCCTGAACATAAGGGTCTTGAGTTCGTGAAACTCAACAGGACGCTGGTTAGAGAATGGGAATTCCTCAGTCGCAGCACCACCACAGATGCGTAGGTACTCAAGGGTAGATGGTAGAGTAAAATCATCACTGACATATATGCCGCTGATGTCCAGTCGCCGTAATCGCGTAAATTCTATTGGATTGAAAGAAGGAGGATAAGGGAAAAAGACGTCCGGATCTGAGTTGAGACATAGCTCTTCGAGATTGGCAATACAATAGGGAAGAGAAGGCTGGAACAGTCAGTTAGCTGAGCTTTGGAGAGGGAGGCAGGGTGAATAGTACTTGTTTGCGAGGGATATGAAGGGCAGACGTATGTCCGTTTACCCATGATCCATCTGTGGTGCGAAGGATTATGCTCCGCAGATGTGGGAGCTCTGAGGGCCAATGCACTTTTGATGAAGGTGAAGTTTTGGCTTTGTGTATTTTGATATTCTCAAGGAGAGGCAAGCTTCCCAGAAATTTCGTAATATACTCCTGCGGCACCGGCATATCCCCTGATATTATCAGCGTTTTCATACGTCGGGAGCCTTTGAACATCTCATAAAAGTTCTGGCAGCTAAACGGCGTCCAGACTTCCAAGTATTCTAATCTTGGACACCTGCTGAAGAATTGAAGGACTTTTTCTGTGGAACTAGACGATATGTTCTTCACAATAGCATGGGATACCATGGACTTTGACCGTCGAATGTAAGCCAGGACGGAACACCAATGGATTTTGCTGCGGGCACCAGACAGATCAATCCGCATCCATAAGCTTCGCATTGAGGATAGGAAACCGTCCCACTGTTTGGATACACGAAGGATGGCCCTTGAGGATAACAATTAGAATGGGGCGTGAGACGGCAATTTGAGCCACTTACACGATCTGCTTGAAGTCAAGATGCTCTAATACCATAGCTGCTATTTCCAGAGGCAGCACACTGAATGGGTCACGGTATTTAGACGTTAATTTATCTCGAAGCTTGTTGTGTAGTTGTTCTACGAGCTACGTAGGTCAGCATAGGCCTGGAGACGAGGGTCAACATCCACTGGACAGTAACACTGACCTCACGGCGAGGATTATTACTAGGTAAGGTCTTTAACGCATATGCGTAGAGTTCTAAAGCCTTCTCGGGCTTTCCGTCCAAGAGAAGGCATTTTGCGCAGCGAAGATATCCCTGGTTCAAATTAGCAAAGGTGCATGAAGGCTCTGGACACTTGGCAATAGGGCTATACGCGTTCGTCCTGCTTGTCCTTTTTGATCATCTGCCTCGCATCTTTGAGCGCCCGATCAGATTGACCGAGCTTAGTGTATGTAGCGGCACGATTATCAAGTACACCAAGAAAATCAGCATCTTTACTATTTAATGCCTGAGGCAAACCATGTCGTTGTTAGAGTTGACAGGCTGAATGAAGTCCGATGGAACATTGACTCGCTGTACCTCTGAGAAAGCATCTATGGCAGCCTTGAAGCTACCCGTCTGGTATAATTGTTGACCATGCCGCTGTAAGGCAGCTGCTTCGCCACGCGCTGGAGCTATGGTTCGTTAGTCTCACGCTAATGATCATCAGAGCATCGGATATTTCAACAGAAATGTTTTAGAGTTTGAGGGTCTTAACACGTACGTTGAGAGCCCATCATACCAACACTTCGATTAGACTCAGTCAGAGCTCCATGCTGCGAGGAGACAAGCCACCGCGACTGGATGTGCTTGTCTTTTAATTAGGCTTTGCGAAAGAGACCAAAGTCCCCCCACTAGTCTTAATCTGGAAAGGCGTCCCCATCGAACACGGGACTCCACTTTCGAGACAACGAATCTATCACTAGGATCTTCCGTTCGCATGGATGCCCTTGTTACTTACCAAAGTATTCTTGCTACTTTACAGAGACTATCACTTGAATGAATATTAGGCTAAACTGGTTTGTTCCCGTGTGTATTGCCCTAATTAGTTCAATCGAGAGTAGCCTTCTATTCATATGATAGCATCCTCGGGCAGCATTGCATATGCACAGTGCTTCGTTTGCGCTTGACTTGTCAGCTTCGACTATTAACTCAACGCGAAGAGCTCTACTTCTGTTTGGCGTACATACGGAGTACCCATGTATTCCTTGAGGCCCTGAGCTATATATCTGACAGGACATAAGGACAGAGCCATTGAACGAACCAATTGGCCATATATATGGCACATCAGAATAATGTGTGTCATCGGCGGTGCGAGGAGTAGGCTCATGTATTCGGTATCTAGTATTCGATGGACATCATGGAAGGTGTGCCCGGTCGCTGGGATTAGAACTCGTCCTTGGAATTCTCTGACAGGTAATAGTTTATGCAGCCAAGAGTCGATCTTCCTTGGAAAAAAAGAAATTCCAAAAGAAATTAAGACAAATAAGAGATAAACAAAAGATACATACGAGATGGCGGCATCATGTCACATTACCGTACTAGGTTAACACATGAGAGTCTGTCAGCTATGAAAGCGATAAACAGCGGGGGTGTGGCTGAAGAAAAGGCCCAGCACTGTACTCCGGAGTACATTTACTTCGTAAGCTGAGAGTTGCGCGGAGTAATGTGTGTTATTCTTGAGTAAGCAACGGACCGAGATCGGATGTTCTGGCAATAATTGTAAGCATCGTGAGTTTGGCACAGATCGGAAACGAACGATTGCCATTATTCTGCTGTACAACAGAGACCAGGTTTATCTGAACCAGAGTGTACCAGTAGGGATGCAGGAAGATGCGACTGAATCTGGAGTAAAAGGCCCTTGTACGGAGTAGAACCAAAGCGGCTTAGTTCCAAGTCCGCCTGGCAACGGAGGCGACGATCATGCGACTGCGCATTTGGTATATTCGGTCCACCGCGGAAAAGGCGGTGTTTACATTCTTCCCCATTCGGAATCCCTGCAAGTGAAAATAACGGCCCGGGGCCCTTGCGAAACGTTTTGAATTCTCACGACTTAAGTCGCCCGATCCCCGCCAGTTCATCCAATATTTGGCCGACAGCTTGCAGGCAAGCATGGAGCCGCATAATTTGCAGGCGGCATCTACCTATATAAATAATGTGCTTCTCGCCCGGGGGCTGCTGAAAAGTGGCAGGCCGATTGATTTCGCCCAGCCGGAGAATGAAGAGGGAGGCACTGGGGCTGCTATGGCGAGAGTCATCAACCTAGTGAATGATTTGGTTTTGAGGAGAGATGTATGTGTATGTCCTGCGTCATCTTGTACTTGATCTGACCGGATTGGAATAGCGCGAAGCCGAACACCGAGAGAATCTAGCGACAACGATTCGGACATTGCGAGCGGAGGATGCTCAAAAGACACTCGAAATTGTATGTTCTAGTGACACTTGAGAGGCTTTACAAGAAGCTAAGACTGCGTACAGGAGAAACTCAAGGCGAAGACATCCGAATTGGCCCGATCGGTCGCTTTGGCGGAAGCGCAAGAACGTGCCCAGAAAGCTAATGCAGCGAGTGCCGATGCTACAGTAAGACAACTGAAAGACAAAGTGCAACGGATGAAGACTACGATCCAACAAGTCCGGGCTCAGTGTGCCAACGATATCCGCAAGCGTGACCTGGAGATGCAGAGATTGAAATCCCACTTGGCAGAACGCCAGAGAGGGAAACGGGAGGGGCTAGGCGTGACAACCATCAACATAAACCCTGCAGTTGATCGATCCTCCAAGGCTAAGCTTTTGTCGGGTGGTGATAATGTCAACGACCCAGGCTACAGTCTGAAACAGGAAACGAACGATTTCCTGACAGAGTTATGCCAGAACCTGAGCGACGAGAATGATAGTCTGATTATGCTTGCGCGGAACACTGTCCAGACCCTGAAGGACTTACAAGGTTTGCCCCAAGGCGAGGAGAATGAAGAGTATTCGAACGGCGCAAGCGTGGGAACTCAAAAATCATCACAAGGACCGGTTACTACGCTTCCGGCGTCTTGTGAAGAGCTGTCCAACCAAATGGATAGGGTGCTGGAACATCTGAGAACACTCCTCACTAATCCCTCTTTTGTACCGCTTGAAGAAGTCGAGGTGCGCGACGAGGAAATTGGGAGGCTACGGGAAAGTTGGGAAAAGATGGAGAGCAGGTGGAAACAAGCTGTTACCATGATGGACGGATGGCATAGACGTATCGCCGACGGCGGTGGCTCAGTGCAAGCGGAGGAGTTGCGAATGGGTATGAGGCTCGACCTTAGTGTAGACTCGGCTCAGGATCTTGCACCTGCCGACGACGAGGAGACACAGACGCAGTCGCCAATTTACGAGGATCAGGAGGCTGAGGAGGAAGAAGAGCCCGCAGCCAAAGCTTCTCAAGAGAGCGTTGAGCTATCTCCGGCCTCTGTTGACACTCAGCTACCTGTGCGAGAGGAAAAGTCTCAGAAGAGCTCTGATCGTGCGCTGAAGGAGCGGAGCGAGAATGTCCGCCCCGCGCGTTTGCCACGAAAGGTTTCTTTCACACCTGGACTCCATGGTTCACCTTGTGAACCTAGCGGCGGCGATGATACTTTGCCAATCAAAGCACATCAGTCCGAGACAGTTACCCGCAGGCCGTCGAGGAGAAAACCGGAGACCAAGACGACACGTCAGGTACCCAGTCAGGCTAGCAGACTGCATGAGCCGAAAAAGCCAGGTCCGACCAAGGAACCGGGCGCCAGTTCACAAACCCGAATGAGTGTTTCGCAGAAACTAGCCGCCGCCGAGAGTGAAGCCCGCGCCGCGGAACAAGCCCGCAAAGAGGGCGAGAGCCGCAAGAGAGGCCGCCCAGTGAAGGGTTCTAAAGGGAGCCAAGATCGGCGAAGAAGCACTCTCACTAATGACGAGCTGGGCGAGCTGATGGGGATGACATCCCGGTGAACAAGTTATTGTAAGCCAGCGTGTTTAGGATATGATTTGTTTGATACCCTCCAGTGTAAATACTTCTCTGCCTGCTACCAGTTAGCTGCATACGATTGTCATGATTTGACCTGATCTGGCGCATGGGAACTCTTCTGTCTTTAGTCGGAAACATGTACTCGTTAATCATAATGCATCTAATGGATTGAATATGGGATCCGACATGCTGTGACCAATACACATAACTACTGTTCATATTCATGAGGATATCCCGCAACCTCGGCAATTCTTGATTCGGTCCATCAATCTCCACCATTTACTCTGGAGTAGCCGACTTCTCCTCTAAGTGATGTACATATATCCCCTCTAAATCTCTGAAATATCTGCGTGCCCAAAAGTTCACTTTAACTGTTGAGCAGATCTCGCATAACTGCGTATTGTTACCAGCAAAATAATCAACCTCACCACTGCGCCACCAACGACACCCAGACAAACAATCATATAAGGCCGAAGCCATCAGCATAACTACGCCCTACACTTCAAGCTACCTAAATTGCAAATACCCCAATAATCACCCGAAAATGTCCCCAACAACCGCAGACACATTCAAGGGCTGGGTAGCCCACAACGCCACCAGCCCCCTAACATTCACGACTTTCAACCCCAAACCATTCACAGAGACCGACATCGAAATCGCAGTCTCCCACTGCGGTATATGTGGAACAGACATCCACACCCTCCGCTCAGGCTGGGGCCCCGCAGACTACCCCTGCGTAGTCGGCCACGAGATCATCGGCACCGTGACCCGCATTGGCTCGGGCGTCCCAACGCTGGCATCATCCCCAGCCTCCCGGGAGATCCGCATCGGAGACCGGGTCGGAATTGGCGCGCAGAGCATGTCCTGTCTGCGAGCGGACTGTTCCGAGTGCGCAGACGGACGGGAGAACTACTGTCCCCGGATAACGGGGACATACAACTCGCGATACGCCGACAAGAGCAAAGCATACGGGGGCTTCGCGATGCGCTGGCGCGGGCCGGCGCATTTCGTGTTCAAGATCCCCGATTCGCTGCCCTCGGCTGAGGCGGCGCCGTTGCTATGTGGTGGGGTTACGGTGTTTGCACCGTTGAGGAAGTACGGCGCCGGGCCGGGGAAGTCGGTTGGGATTGTGGGCATCGGGGGACTGGGGCATTTAGGGATTTTGTTTGCGAGGGCGCTGGGGTGTGATCGGGTGGTCGGAATTTCTCGGACGTCGAGTAAACGGAAAGATGCAATTGAGGGGCTTGGAGCGGATGCTTTCATTGCTATTGATGAGGAGAAGAAGTGGGGGAGGACGCATTCGCGTTCCCTGGATCTGATTATCTGTACTGTTGATGCGCCGGATATGCCATTGAGTCAGTATCTGCGGCTGCTGAAGGTTGATGGTACGTTTGTGCAGGTTGGGGCGCCTGAGAAGCCGCTTCCACAGTTGACGGCCTTTTCTTTAATTCAGAAGGGGGTGAAGGTTACCGGGTCGAATATTGGTTCGCCAGAGGATATTCGGCTCATGCTGCAGTTGGCGGCGGAGAAACGTGTGTTGCCGTGGATTCAGAAGAGGCCGATGGAGGATGTGAATGCTGCGTTGGCTGATATGGATGCTGGCAAGGCGCGGTATCGATATGTGTTGGTCAATGAGACGGAGAAGCAAGCGAAGTTGTAGGGCGTGCCATGTGGGCGTTGTGTTTCTGCTGGAGTGGATAGAGCAGGTCTAGTGTACTGATTACTGGATAAGATAGAGGGCCAATGTTGAGTCTAAGGTAGGGCGCAGAGTCGGGACACGTACTGGCTCAAAACGCAATTACAGATCAAACGTGAAGGTTGAATGAACTTGATGTATCGACTAGGTATTGCCCCAGTATTACCCCGTCCCAGTGATGGGCTCCCTAAGTGTAGCACTCGCCATCGGGAGAACTAAGACCGAAGCAAGGGACTGGACCTCATTAGGAGCTAGAAGTTATTTCTCCTCATCATAACTAAAAATCTGAAGCTTAACTCTTGTGTCTTCAGTAGTGGCAGTAGCGAGAGCCAATAGGTCGCTGTAGAAGGAGTCAAGGACCATATACATATAGCCTTTACCCGATTCAGGGAAAGGTACGAGATATACGATCTGTGGATCTTTGCTGTGCCTCCACCTCCGTAATACTGCGTGAAAGTGCGATGAGGAGGGGGGTTGCAGCTCGAGGTTTTGGTTTAAACACACATTGCAGGACCTGTATTCCCCCAATGTCTTTCACTCACCTTGCTGAGTTATAACGCTTCATCCCTGCCCTATATAGCTTCCCGGGATGGCAGACTCAGAACATACAGGCTGGAATGCCTATCACTACTACCCTTCCAAAGCTGCAGGTATATTGTTTGTTGTGCTATTCCTTATTCTTTCCGTCATCCATACATACCGTCTACTTGGAACCCGAGCATGGTTCTTCATCCCGTTAGTGACAGGCACTTGGTGTGAGTTTCCTGCGTCATATGTCGAACAATTCAATAGCTGACCTCAATAGTTGAGTCTGTAGGATACATCGGATGTGTTCTGTCGGCTAACGAATCTCCACACTGGACAATTGGTCCGTACGTGATGCAGAGTACCCTACTACTCGTTGGACCCGCGCTTTATGCCGCTAGCATATACATGGAGTTAGGCCGAATCATCTATCGAGTCAAGGCGGTAAAATTGGCCATAATCCGGGTGACATGGGTGACCAAGATCTTCGTTGCAGGAGATCTGCTCAGCTTCCTGATGCAGGCCTCAGGTGAACCTCATCATAAGCTGGAGACACATCCATTACTAACGAAAACAGGTGCTGGTATTATGGTGTCCAGTTCTAAAAACATTGGTGAAGATATCATTCTGGGTGGTCTATTCATCCAGATTTCTTTCTTTGGGTTGTTCCTTATCAGCGCTCTCGTTTTCCAGAGTAGATTAGCCAGACGTCCTACTTCAGAGTCTGTTGATGATAACACTCCCTGGCAAAGGCATATGTTTGCACTGCACTTCTCAAGTCTCCTCATTCTGATCCGGTCGAGTTTTCGAGTCGCGGAGTATATTCAAGGCTCGGATGGCTTCCTACTCCGAAACGAAGTCTTTGTTTACGTGTATGACGGATTCCTAATGCTTTTTGTAACCGTTGTCTTTCTGGTCATTCATCCAGGTGAAGTTAATTTCTTGGGCCGAGGGTGATTTATGGTATTTTAGTGACAGTCTGAGAGTCCGCCTCATTTTCCTGTTTGATGTATTAGATAGGGTATCAATTTTAAACAAGTGCCTTCTGAAAACAAGTCCGTAATAGAGAGAGAACTTGTGATCAGAGTGTCCCATGTGCCAGACATGCGCAGATGTATATCCGGATACGACATAGTAGGTACTGCGAGAGATCAAGCTGAATTAATATGCTTTAATTTCACTGAGGAGATCCTGTCCAAAGATTTCTACGATGGGCCATGGGGCATATGGCTTCCAGCGGTCATCCAGGATCTGCCATATTGCCCTTGGTAGCCTGAAAACCCACTGGTCGATGAACCAGTCATACTTAAGGCGACAAAGAACCGCGCAAAGATGCGCTAGAATGAGAGCTAGAGGGCTACATTCCCGAATCTGGTTCACAAACTTGGGTTTCAATCTTATTGCCCACCTCGCGGTAACAATGGTTGAAGTCAAACCACCGTAGGCTGCAGCCGTTATATCCGTCAGGTTGTCAATAGTTCTATTGTAGATGTCGGTATCATGCGTCGGGTCTTGTGCACCACGATAAACATTCAGCTCCCGTAGTCGTTCGAGGGGTGCAAGAGCATCTCTTGGAAGAGAGGTAATATATTCGTCCAAGCGTAGGAGAATTTCCCAGTCGCTACTTCGGATTTAATAGCCGCGTAGTCTGTCTCAGCACTTGCTCCACACCCCGCGCTAATACCAAAACTTGGATGAAATCGTCAATGCACGCCTATGGGTCTTTTGACTCAGCAGAATGAGGGAAACCGAAGGCATATACAAGTATAATGCTTGATATTACAAACATAACTTTTGCATTTGAGTCAATTATATCATCAAGATGTTTTAGGAATGATATTAATGCCTGGTTTGGTGGGATACGGCAGTACTGATATACTGCGGACGACGGTGGTCATCCCTCGTCCGCTATATAAAGTGCAGAAAGAGCCAAAATTCTATGCATAAGGAAAGGATGTGACAAGGCCTCTTCCGGAACATGAAGACGCCAAACGGGATCGGTCCTTTCATTGCGCGTTAGGACCTGGTACGTTGAGTTACACCCCTGCATCATTAACTCCAAGTCGCCCAGGTTGAGGCTGGGACGGGAATGAGCTGTCTCATCATCATCGGCGGAGAAGACAAATGGATTGGCAGTTCCATGCAGCAGCTCTGGTAGTAGACGTCCTTCATTTCCAGAGTTAGTTGACTTTGCATTATGTGGTTCCTTATTCGCCCATAGGAGGGAACTGCTCGAGTCAAATTCGCATTCCGTGTGGCGCTTAGAGCAGTTGGAGCACACTGGCCGGGTTTAATCGCACTGGAAGGCTAGTTTAGTTATATAAATCCATGGAGTCGTGTCAAGTGAGTGCATACCTTGACTCGTCTTCGCTTGCATTCTAGACGGCCAGGGCGAGACTTCCGTTGGGATCTTCGTAGTACCATCAGATGCTATCAGATGCTATCGTACAACAATCAGCTATGCTGACATACTCTAGAAACTCAAAGATTTCTAGAATAGAATGAGAAGTGCTAGGGTTATAATGTTATCCATGAGAGAAGAGAAAGGACTTTCTAGGCAACTGCATATCTATGAAGTTATTGGAGGTTGAGCTCTATAAAGCGGAATATGTCATCGTACTACATGCCAAGAACTATATTGATACAAGAAGCAGTAGATATCATATCGTAGACATATATAACATGTTAACTTAAGAAACAGACTTGGTATCTCAGAATATTAGGGAATTGAAGAAAAGTAAAAAAAAAAAAAATAGAGGGAGAGATCTCTTAACCTCCACCACCGCCCCCGCCACCTCCACCATGGTTATTGTCGCGCCGTCTTTGTTTCTCATACAGAGAAAGCCCAGTAATGAGGACCATCAGGTCAAACTCCTCGCCATAGTTCGCCGAGTCGATTTGGAGTTTGCCACTTTTCTTGACACTTTTAAATGCAGTGCTCGTAAATATTGCAACAATCTGACCGGTTTGCTCATCGACCAGCTTGAAGTTGCGACTACTCCATTTGGTAGCGGAGGAGCCTTGGACTGCAACAGAGTGTGTTCTCTTCCACATAAAAGACCGTCGTTCTGCTCCAGAGGCACCCCGGACGGTCATTTGCCAGCGGTATTTGTTGCATCTGATGTTTTGAGAGACAAGGTCCTCCCACTCAACGTGATTGATACTCTGCGGGTCGCCGAGTCCTACTTTGATATGCCTTGAAAAATGTAGGAATTTGGAGACGCCCACAATAGGGGCCTTCTTATCAGCGCCAGCATGGAATGTGAGGTCAGGCTTCTTTGGGGTGAAACTTGAGTTATCCACAAAGAAAAGGGGTGCCTTGTCGTCCGAAGTCACGGTGTAATCATTGTGCCATATGGTATGGTATACATGAAAGAGGCGAGAGTTGCTGCTCGTGTTCAAAAGACTCCCATCGAATGACTCCTGGTCAGAAATGTATTTGGAAGAACCCATCATGCAGATACTGAGGTATTGTTATACATGAGTGATGAGTAAGAGGTAGATAGGACACAAAGGAGCACTTTTGGGGGAGAGGGTCTTCTACACATCTTATATATCTCCTTCGTATTCTGAGGTGAGATCCGTGAAATCATTTTTTAAGATCCTTGATACGAGAGACACAAGGCTTAGCGTTGATCATCGCCATGGGCGTTTCAAAGGATAACTTAAAAAAGAACAATCTGAAGGTATGCCATCCAATGATGAGCAGGAAAGGCTCCAAGGGCTGTGCTCTTGGCTTTGGAACGCCGGCCAGATTTAGCCTTGGGCAACCCAAGGGGCTAGCGAATACGACTTGCCCAAACTGGGGTATTCGTGATCACGTGCTAATTATGACAATTACCATGTGACTTTAGGTCACATGATATCACCTGACGTCGCAGTTGGTGCCAAGACCCGAGCGCGTTGATGGGCGGACTGGCGATGCTGAAGAAGAGGAACTTACAGGACACTTTGGGGTTGACAATTCCCTATCTGTAACTCGATTACTCCGTCATCCAGCGGCGGGTCATTGGCTAATTGTGCGCGCCTGGCATTAGGTGTCTATCCCCCTGCACGAGTTCTCTGCCCCCGACTGGGGTGGTAACTTTTCATTCCGCAGATCTAAGTCGACCAAGAATTATCGCTTTGTTTATACTCTTCTCGTTACACCAACCAACACCAAATCAACATGAGTTTTAAGGTTCCTTTCGATTCGAGCCCCCCCTCGACCCCGGGAAAATCTCGCAGCTTGTTCAGTTTATCTGAAACCCCTGCGGGTGCTCCGCCGTCTGCATCTAATTCCTTTACTCCGCAAGGCGCTCCTCCGTCCACCGTATTCGGCAGCTCCCAGATGAGCTCTAGATCGCAGTTCGACTCCCCCGGCTCTCTTTTTACAAAATCTGGAAACATCAATCCCAATGACAGCATCTTCGGATCCTCGATCGCATCCTTCGATTATCCAGCGCCACGGGGAAGGAAAGCAGCGCCAGCCAAGTCCTTTGCGCCCTCTCAATCTCTTTTCAGTGTGACAAATGATAGCCGGTTCGGCGAATCGACCAATTTTGGGCCGTCCAATAGTTTTGCCTCGTCGCAAATAGAAGAAGATGTCGAGGACGAGGAGGCCGTTCCAGAGGAGGAAGAAGCGGATGGCGATATGGACGTAGGCGATGCAACTGGAGACGACAACCGCTTGAGCTTCTTGGACTCTCAGTTTGGAAAGCCCGTTTTTCCACAGTCCACCTCGCAAGATCACCGAAAACCGATATATACAAATCCAAGCAATGCGAAGCGGCCTAAGCTCGATGAAAAATGGGCAAATCAATCACCCCTACGCAAAACGAAACTGTCCCCTAAGAAGGACTCTCCAATGCCGTCAATCGTGCGAAACTTCACGTCAAGATCGCGTATCGCGTCGGTTGAAGAGCCGAGCCAAGTCATTATCAACACGGAAGATGAAATATGTCGCTTGTACGACGAAGTGCGAAAGGCTGAATACCAAGATGTGGATTTCCAGGTCACGCTGTCAGAGGTCTGTAGCCAACTCGCGGATGATTGGGAATTATATGCAGAGCATGAGGGCGTGTCCCGGATCTCTAGTACGCAAGTGGGCCCTGGGGACCATGCTCCTGGCGTGATTAAAGCAAGCTTCCTGGGTTCTTTGTTGCTACAGCTTCACCACCCCCCTCTTTCAAGTGAGAGGTCTGGAAGTTTCCCCAACCCCCTGGGCTTTGCGGCACCGCAAAGCCTTGTGCATGCTGGCTCGAGAACTAGTGCGCCTATCCCTATACCGAAGCTGCTCCTTGATTGGCTTAATAAAAATTATCCTCAGACGGCCGAACTGCGATCATTGAAAGATGTGGAGCCAAGTCCTACTGCGTCTTCAAATTTTTGGGAGATTCTTAAGGCTGCTGTATTGCGCGGTCATATTCCCGAAGCTGCGGACGTCTTGCGCGTTGCAGATTTTAACTATGCTAGGTCTGCATTGGAGGACGGCTTGCCACAGACAGGTTATCGTGGGGCACAGTTACAAAATATTCAGAAGTGCGTCAATAGAGCCGTACAGATTTTAGATTCATGCCCTGGCACTCAGCACGGTGATTGGGACGTAAGGGGAACCGAGTGGGGCATGTACAGGAGACGTGTGCTTGCTGCAGTGACAGACCTTGAGGAGTTTGCTGAAGGTGGCGAGCAACAAGATTCTGAGCCCCCGGTTGTGGGCAATCGTTTCCAGGCAATAAACTTCGGATTGAAGCCCAGCGCTGCGGCGGGTGAATTCTCCTTTGCGCAGTCCGCGCGCATGGCAGAAAGCCGCGTTCCGTGGACGATTTACCAAAACCTGAGATCCCTCTACCGCATTATCCTCGGCGATACGAGTGCTATCATGAATCTTGCACAGGACTGGGTTGAGGCGACTGTTAGCTTGACAGTTTGGTGGGACGGGGAAGATGATGATGAGAGTTCAGCGCAAAACAACGGACTTGGTGCCAGCACTAGCATTCACTTTCTCCGTCCTCGGGTATCGAAACCACAGTCTTCTAGCAGCAATCATGAGGATGCTTATCTTCGTCGCCTTGATCTGGCATTTAATAGTGCGACAAATGCAGAATCAGATCAAGGCGGTTTCCGGGTTAACTCTCTCAGCAGCATCGAAGTTGGGCTGGCCTCCGTCTTTGAAGGAAACGTTGATGGTGTGTTAGAATTGCTTCAGACGTGGTCGCTTTGTGTTGCGTCTGCTGTGGCTGAAGTTGCGTCTGCTGGTGGCTGGCTAGAGACGGCAACCGGGGCAAAGCCGCTAACGGGCCTGAGCGAGAATGACTTGATGGTTCTCTCCTATGGCCAAGATGGTAAATCGCAGAAGGGCAGTGTTAGCAAGGACGACATTCTAAGCAGCTATGCCTCTGGGTTATTTGAGCGCGGAAGCATTGAAAATGGTGTCCGACAGGGCTGGGAATTGGCACTCGAGGTTTTAAGCCGTCTAAACGACCATGAGAAGATGCAGAAGAGCGTATCAGAGCTATTAGATAAGTTGCCGCTTGACACTGCGGAGCAGATGGACAGGGCCGTGTTGCTATGCTCTGAACTCGGTCTAGAAAAGGAAGGGAAACGAGTCTCTGAGGTTAGTCACCTACTTGTGTCAACAGAAAATCACGTACTGATTTATTGCAGCGTTTTGGCGATCTTACAGTTTCCAAGACCGAAGAATATGGCCTTGCTTTAATCTGCTATGCTCGGGCCCACAACCGACGAAAGGTCAAGTCTGTGGTTGATCTACTTATCTCGTACAGTCTCGTCCAATCACGCGCGTATCCTGCACATGTAAACCTTGATGAACAGCTCTACTCTTTGATCAGAGAACCTAAGGCATGCCTCTCGGCCGTTGCTGGGGTTGATGAGGAAGCTGCCAGTATTCTTCAATTTTACTTCAGTGGTTATGCTACTCTACGACGATACTATGAGACTCGTGATGAGACTATTGGTCTCCAAGAGGGGCAAAAGCCACGGTTCAAACCTTTAGCCAGACGGCGAGCGGCAGCCCAAGCTTTGGTCGCGGTCATCAGTAGTGCTGCAGATAGTATTTACGGTGGCCTTTACGACCCTGGCCGAGATTCTGCGGTGCAAGTCGATGGCTTATTAGCGCTTCTAGGAGAGGCGCTGCCATTTGTCGAACGTAAGTCTTGTTCCATGCTGGATGAGCTCGACCGCTAACCAAATATTAGAACCTACACCCATTCTTTCCGTATCTCAACAATCCGCTATTCTGTCCGCCATTGAGGATCTTGAAACGGTTACACCCCGCGTCTATGCTCAATGTGAGGAGTGTTTCCGCTCTACACTCATCGAATATCACTCCTCCAAGCGCGCAGGCGCTGATTCAGCATCTAATGACTCTTCTGTTCTCCCGCCATCTCCCCGCGCACTTCTGAAAAAGTCCGTCTCTTCGCTGACAGCTTCGAGCACCTTCTCGTTCATTGGTAGTGATATGATCGAGTCCGCGCGGAACCGGTCAGGATCTGGATCCGCTGGCAGCTCTGGCGTGTTGGTGCCTCGTTCTGGTGATGACGCTCGCTCGGCGTATCATGAGCGAGGCTGGGACTGGCGTGCTGGTCTGCCAGAGGACGCCAAGGGAGAATATATTCTCCGGATGTTGCGGCTGGGGCTTGCAAAGGGACTGAGCTTTGGGGCTCTTGGGTCGGTCTAACCTGGGATTGATAAAAAGTTCTAGCATTAGCATGTACGCTTGTTTCCCAAGGGGTCGGTGCTTGTCACTTCTTAAATGTATTATGTATAATGCATAGTAGCGTTCAGTAACAGATACAAAGATAAAGTAATTAAAAACTCCGACGCGCATGGACGCAACATTTCACAACTCCTCTGCCATTAGTTGTAATACCTTCTCATCTATTTGTACTGAGAATCATCCATGATAAAGAGCTATAGCAAATGTTGAGAGGCATCTAGGAGATATATTAATCTCGTGATGCCTGTGCACGTAGAATACTATGCCATCGAATATAGTTTCGCATTCTGATATGTTCAGCATGCGATAGATAGATATACGTTGAGGCCTTTGTATAGCAAAGGCATTTAAGGATGGGGACAGGGGAAAGTTAGCATTCTTGAGAGGATGTGAAAGCAGATGCAGCATGCACAGTATAGTAATAAGGAGTTGGAAACTACACATTCACACTAGTACTTCAAATGCGGAGACTGAATACACATGCCCTAACCTTCAATTTGGTGCATTACTTACTATTGAAGTATTTGCATGAAAACAGTGAATGGGAACAAACTGAAGCAGTCCCTGGTGAACTGATAGACTACATTCACTTCTCCCACCGCGAATAGATGTGTAGTCACTGTCTATGTTATCATAGTATATAGTACTATAAAAGAAGTATCTAGCCTTAATATCATCATCTAAAGATATATCACATCACCATGTCCTATGTTCATTTCTCGCCCCTGTGCGTTTATTATCACCCGGCCACCTATCTAACTGCTACTCTTGTATGAGAGGCACCACCCAAGGAGAGCATGGTTCCATCGACGTGGCAGTATTCAGTTGCATGTGTACAGATTTCGGGCTTAACGTGATTACTATGTGCTCATGTATTCCGGCTTACAGGAATCAGTCAACTGGTTGCATAGCACGACAATCCAACCCGTACCAGGTAGCGTTACAGAGCGTTGACGAAATCATTGAATTCAACTTCCAGCACCACGCGAGATATGGGTTCCCTCCAATCGCAGACTGGTTTATTACCATCGGGACTTATCGAGCATCCATTGGGGATAGGTCCTGGAGTGGATGTCAGAACATGGGTGCCTGCTTGGTATTATATGCCAGGAAGGATATGTTCGTGGATGGCATTTATAAAATGCCGACGACAAACCTCAAGGGGGCTGCTATATTGACCTTCAAGAACTACCAGAGTGAACCCTACCATGGGACTCTCACCGTTAATGCGATCGGTAGTAATTCGTAAACTCCTACCGTGTCTGGAGAACCTGGTCTTAGTCTTGCACATTACCCAGTGTGCGTCCACAGCATTGGAACATCAGAAAGTGCCTGGTTGATAGATTGCTATTGCATCAAGTGTTATGCATGGTGACTGGCCGTAATCGGCAGTTTTCTATTTTTCCTCAATAAACAACACTAGAACCGCGATATATAGCATTGACAGCCGGGCTGTTTTCCACATGTGCTATTTTACCGGGATTATTTGGGGCCCATTACAGGCCATAAGTTGCTTTATTCCAGTGTTTATGTCATCATATGGAGCCCCACGTTGTTCTATGTATAGTAGAGTTGCTCAGTTCGATCGCGAATATAATTAAAGACATGTCGGGTATTGAGTATTTCTCACAATTGCTTGGACATTCTGAATCTTTCATAGTTGAAGTCAAGCACCGGGGCATGTTCTACAAAATTGAACCTTATCAAGATGAATGTGACTATTTTGTATTACCTACTAGGCCTGGGACAGAACTTTCATATACTCTAATACATGACAAGAGTTGGCTTCATCACTCCGTTGGCCCCTAAGCTGGTCGAGATACCAGTAGGTGCAGTAAAAATATCCGTGACTATGCAATATTGTTTCCCCATAAAATGTCAATGATAGGGTGGATTTTGTGGCATATATTCTGTGTCAATCTTAGGAATTAGAAGAGAAAGCTTTGTTTTGGATGGAAGGAAATACTGGTGAGAGCTGCTATGCTGTAATAGTCAAGGGTTTGATATTTATTCATCACACTGATTCTCATGCAGATGACACTAGACGCATAAGTCTCTTTCTATACACTATTTTATGTGCCCTCATGCCCAGCTTCTCCTGGTCTCCTTGTTTTGCTTCATTACTGTGACACATCTATTTATCAAGTTGGAAGTGTCATCATCCTGACACACAACCTGTATCATCTGAAAGAGACATTCCACCAGAGTAAATGACTTGAATGGATGTCCTTTATTCATTGTGACCTACAACCCCCCAAAACCATCTCAATAAGTCCCAAAACTATCTGTAACATCACAAGGGCGTTGAGAGGATGAGAAAAAAATTATGAATCTATTAGAAGTGTAAGGATCATCTCGTTCTATATGCTTTGTGGCCCCCCCCCCCCTGCTGAAAGATCTTAACACTGCATCTAATTGGCTTGGGAGGACGGTTTTATGTATCATCTGCAACATAACAAGGAAGATACAAGGGGATCAATCGTATACAGAGAAAGGCACCAGAATCTGTACAAAAGAACTATCTCAGATGACCGATAATTATATAAGTAGAGCCAGCATGGCCACGTCCAAACTTGTATCTTCGGATTAAATATTGATCATTGTTGGCAATTCTGAAGCGTCATGCGTCCCCATCTCGGTGTCTTGATTTTACCGCTACTAGCATTGCCTGCTAGCGGCAGCGATTATGATGACAAGATTAAGAATTGGCGAAGTTGGTGGTGGCCCCGCTGCACCAAATATTACGTTGATGAGGAAACACCGTCCTTCTTCATTGCAACATGCGAAGATGGAGCTGGAAACAAGGTTACCACTAAGTTGGACCTCAAACCATGTTGCGCCATCAAAACGGGAAATGAAGACGAGTATGTATTGATTCCCAACTTGGATGGGCTTGACTAAACTACCAAAGTAAAACCCACATTGAAAAATGCATATTGCGTGACGGGAACGATCCCGGATTGAAGGAACTAGGTTGCTTCGTCTACACAGACAACCCCGATAACTCCAAATGGACAAGACTGAGTAGGTGTTGCCTTGATATATATATATATATAAATCAGTCGCTTTCCAGCTAACCACAATAGCATTCTGGCAAAAACAAAACGTGACTGTTGAAGATGGTGTCCTTACTTGCTTTGACTACAAAGGGGAACATGTCTGAAGTGTTTGTATTCATTGCTTTACTTCTGACTTTGTGTGGTGTTGATCATCCACCGTGCACCTGGAATCTGGCATGACACATAATGATTCTGCCTTTGGGGTTTATCGACGATGCTTGGCTGCGATACAGGGAGCAGCCACTGTGATAGAGGCATGTATTGCTATAGATTAGCTCATTCATTGACCTTCTTCTATATCTAGCGCCTGAGGTGGTAATTTTCTTTTAGCTCCTTTAGGTTGTCATGTATGCATGGGTTCTACAAGAAACAAGATGAAGGATCAGGTTCTACTAGTATCGTCTTCAGCTGTGGGTGGCTCGAGGGATGGTCCTCATTGAACACAAGATACTTTCGAACCGTCATAACAATTTGACTCAGCAAAAGTGGGAATGAAGGCTGACACAGACTCGCGGTCGGCTTAATGCAAGTTAAAAAGACCTTGGCTTTCGAATGACAAGCACTCTGATCAATAGTTCGGGTACATCGGCAACGGTAATTATGAAACCGAGTCTAATGTCTCAAAAATCGCTGCAAGAGGCTTAAAGGTAAGAGACAAGAGCCTCAGCTGAAGAGGTTACTAACTTACTAGTGTCTACCAACTCCGTTGAGTCACCGCACAAACCTGACACAGGAACTAACTTAAAGATAGAACAGACCAGTCGTACCATGGCTAGGGCTCGTAGGGCATGCTGCAAAGGTCCTTAAGGGGATCAGGCCAGAAATGGCTGCCTGGCGACGGGGCACGGTGATTGGCCAATGAGGGTCCATGACTCAGGCCATCCTCTGGTCCAGTGACCCCGCCAGCAAAACGCAATACGGTGATAGGCTTGATGGGCAACCCGTCCAGCTGCGTTCTCTCCACTAACCAGTCAGCCTTGTGTCAATCCACCGGTTTCCTCCGTCCTCTCGTGCATGGAACTAATCTCCGTTAGACCTTGGAAGGAGCACTCTACAAGTTGCCCGGTTTGTCACCTTGGACTTGATTCGCTCCGTGCCCTGACCGCCCCATTCTCTCCTCGGCCTTACGACTCGAAACAGGTAAGAAGAAGAGGAATGTCTATTCTATATTAGTGCCTTTAGACAGACCAGCTGAAAACCCCTGCGACAGGAGGACGTGCGCTTGCAAAGGCCCGCGCTATCCTGTCAAACTGGCAGGGGTTTGCAAAACTGTTGCGGTCTTGGCTCCAACGGTTCCATCAAAAGTGGATAACCATGCCCGGTTGGGGTCATGTTTGCAATGAGTATCAGCTGTCATCGCAGAATTACCTTCTGCAACAATTGCGTTAGTCAGAGGCATGTGTCTACAATCTGAAGTTTCGGGTCTGGCTTGCTCTGAATTGAAACTTGAAGGACTCAGCCCGAACCCCACTGATCGACTAGGGCTCGGCGTCGTCCGTCGTCGGCCCTACGTGGATTGGAGCATAACCACTATGGATGGTACTAACCTTGCCCGATAGACTGGGTCCAACTATTTTTTTCCTCACTTGGCTCTTTTTTTTTTTTTTTTTTT